CCCATAATATGCTGTAAAAGAACAAAAAAGAAGTTTCAGCTCTGTAAATTCACCGATTAAACGATTAACAATCCCGATGAAATCACCCTATCATTCCTTATCGCTATTCAATTTCGAAGCTCTCACTCTTGAATTTTGATCCTCCTGTTCATAACAAAACTGACTACTGTGCTCGCGATCCTCGATCTTATCGGCAATTAGACGCCACCGACTATCATGCAAATCGTTAGAAAAACTTGCCAACTCTTCTCTTCGTCTTCGTTCATGAAACGAAGGTCGACAAAGTCAGGAATTTACAATTTCGGTATTACAAGTATGAAAATCGAAGCTATTATTGGAGCGTGTTAAGCGAAAGGAAGTGTGATTAATAACAATCGAGGAACACCTGCCAAGTGATATTTAACTTTTCTGTTCATTTCTGTCCGCGATGTTAGATTTGAAATAGACGGTGACCGATGAAAAATCCAATTTCGTAACATCGTTGAATGAGAGAGCAAGCCACCCACTCGTACACGCTGTGGTTAGCACACTCTGTTATCTAACCGTTAGCCGAAACGTTTTTCACCACAACGAAACAACAATTTTCTACAGCTACTAATGAACACGATACGCTCAAACACGTACACGATGTTCCTACAATTTCAAGTTGACAATAAATCTAGATGCAACGAGCTGGCTCGTAAGAACATGCAACACGTTTCGTTTATTCCACAATATATAAATAGCATCAAAATATCATGGAAAATTGCAAAGTTATACCTTGTTTCTCCATTACTACTTGTGAACAGAGAAGGAAAGAAACGTCCGAGTTTCTTCAACTACGAACTTAAGGGCGCGGCGGTCTGGCCATGACACTCCTCGTTCTACTTTCACTCTACTTTCGTTCAAGCTTAGTCTGTCTTGAAATCGGTACTACGAAACAATTTACAAATAACGTCTTGACGTTTGGGAGACGTCTTGCGTTCCCTACATCAAAGTCGACAATGATGTCTCTGAGACATACGCAAAGTCAATACTTTTATATAAGGAATATAAAAAAAATATTTTCCTACGTGCTTGATACGATTCTTTTCAACGCTTATATCCTATATTCTAAATCAGAGCTAACTGGCAGCCCGCCCTTACTTTCCTGATCGCTAGCGCTACCCCCTCCACTGCGTCGTGCATGACAGAGTGGGGGTAGCGCTAGCGATGAGGAAAGTAGGGGCAAGGGCTCGCGGGCCGCCAGTTAGCCCCAGTCTCTAATTAATTTCTAAATTATCTACTTCGTTTAATTCAATATAATCCGTACGTCAAGGGGCAAATTATGCAAATTATGCAGATCGTTCCTCTTTCTTAGCGACAACATTTCTGCAACACAATTTCTACGAAGAGACACGAACAAACCTTTTCGACGGAAAAACAAGCATCTGGCATTACTGATCGGACGATCATCGGGCTAATCTCGATACGATTCTCATAGACAGGAGATAACTACAAACTACGAGACTGGCTGGTCGCAAGGAGGGAAGCCTCGTGAAAGCGACGACGGGTGCAAAATCTCTCGGGTCGCGTTATTACGGCCGCTTCAATTTGGCAGTCGGCGATTCTTGGCACGAAGTACAACTTCATTTCCGAGATCGGCAGCGACGATAGCTTATTACACGCGACAACGGTTTTCTTTCTTTCTTTTTCACTTTTTTTCACTTGGCGGTCAGAAGCGCCGCTACACCAGACGGGTTTACGACGACACGCCTCTCTTATTCCCCGCACTTGGAAGGGAAAAAGTTCCTTCCCTGCCAATTTAACGGCTGACGAATAACACGAAACGTTGCTCGATTCTTCTCGATCCCTCGATATGTCGCAAGCTGTGAAGGAGGCGCTCGTTCGTAATAAAAAAAAAAAAAAAAAAAGAAAATATCTCGCGATAGCGCGAGGTCCGCCGACCGTTGAATCATCGATTAAGAAACAGTCGGTCGAATAAAGATCCTTTACGACAAATACGAATTACTGATAAACCCGGGGACCCGGCTGGGAATTCATTTCGAGCGCGAAATGGCACGCAACAGGTACGGACATCGTAAAATAAAACGATAAACGTACTCGAGGACAGAAATTACGATCTGTTTACCAGCGGGAGGATATCGATCTCGGGTTGTTCGATTACTTCACGCGAGGGAAAGTTGGATTAACGCCTGGTTGGGGACTCGTTTTCGAACGTTCTTTCGACGTAAAAGTATGATTTATCTTCGGGCCAAACCAGAAGGGCCCGGATACGTAAGTTCTGGACTTTATTAGAGCACGGCGATGATTTAAGCCGGCCGTCGCGGAAATTTCTAAACAACTGTAACTGATACGATATAATTTATAGAGTTAACTAATTGTAAGACTAGAATAATCCTTTGAGTTGCCCGAGGGATTAAATACTTAACATCAGACACAGACAATTTAGAATTGTCATAAAGCATGGCAATTACGCTTCAACGCGGGCTGCTGCTCGCCGTAACAACGAGACATGCATCTTCGTTGATCGTTTGTGAAATCCTTCGTCGAGATCGACTCGACCATTAGAAATAACCTGGAAAAGCGATGATAAAGCGATTTTTCACTTTGGACAGGATTCTGGCTGGAATTTGTGACTGAAGCTGAGATTTCGAAATATATCAAGCCTAATTAATTAAAAAAAAAAAAAAAAAAAAAAAAAAAAAAATTAAAATTGTTTCGACCAACAGTACCAGTAGAAGAATATTATCGAAATTTCGCAAATGCATCAAGCCTTGAAAAAATTTGAAATGGCGAGGAAAATCTTGGAAAGAAAATTGGAGAAAAAGGGAAAAATTGGGAGCGCAACAGTTGTAAAGAGGCTGTCCGCAGGGCACAAACGCGAACAGGGCGAATTACGATTCAATGAGTGGACGGGTGGGCAAACGCGCGTTGGCAAACGCGACCAGCCCGAGGGTATCCGGTGCATTAAATCACGAAAATCGCACGAGCTGCCAAAACGACAATAATACTCGCCGCTGTGCCGACCTACGCTTCGTCTTGTACGCTTCTCGCATAATAATGCGCCAGAGAGCGTAATCTGTGCCAGCGTTGCCCGCTGCCAGATTCGAAATACACGAGCGTTACGCGCGTCCAGTGCAAGGGGGCTTTGTGCTCGATCGCAAAAATCGCAACCCCAGGCGTGTAACAACCAAAGGATGGAAAAATGGAGAAAAAATGAAGAAAACTTCGTTATCCTGGTCGATAAAAATGGAGGAAAAAATGAAGAAAACTTCGTTACCGTCGTCGATAAAAATGGAGAAAAATGAAGAAAACTTCGTTATCCTCGTCGATAAAAAAAAAAAAAAAAAAAAAAAAAAGAGAGAAAAAAACAATTCGGACAGAGAAGAGAAGCGGGGAATCGAGTCGATTGCGTTAAATAGAAGGTTGAAGAAAGGCTCGCTTGTGACCGATAGCAGGCTATACCTATAATTAGCAGCAGTGGTCACATCTTACTTTGTAATGAAATGCAAGCAACTGTAACGACGTCAATGGACTCTATCCAATTTCAACAAGTGAATACCTCTTTGATTACCCTACGTTCTTAAGTTGTCACGAATATACATACATTATAAGCGTATGCATTAGGAGTAGAATGAGCAGGTTGGTTGAGTTCCAGAATGTTTTCGGTTCGCTGAGAGGCAGCGGATCGGAGCGGATGCTCTCTTCTTCGGTTTCTTTAAAGAATACATCTTGAAGGAATCCAATCCGTAGAAAAAGAAGAAGAACTTTACTAAGAAAAAGAGAACGTTGTTTCGTTGAACAGGTCTCCCTCCAAGGTTCAATTAAATGTATTTTTCTGACGAGTGATCGCTTCGGAGGAGGAGAAGGACGAGACACGACTCGTAATTACGGAGGTGGAAACCGGTAACCGATACCGGCGAGATTTGTCACCGGTAGCGGTTAAATAAAACGAGGGAGGGGAACTTTCCACGCGAGTCATCAATCAACTCGACCCGAATATCACGCGGAACTCGTTAGTACCTGCTCGCTGTTTTAGAAACAACTTCACTGTATTCAATGTTGCTTTTCGTCGATTTACGTTCGCACGGCTTGCCAACCCACCGGACGGCCATAATCATCATTCGTCCCCAATGAAAACGTTGCACCGTAAATCCAGTTAAATTAAAACAAAGAGTTTGGCCCGCACACGCGCCACTGTTACTTCCCTCTCGTATCTTTCATAATCGTCGCTTCTGGCGAGAAAATCGCGAAAACGTACGTGCAATATCATTGTAATCAGTCGAAGGAATTCATTTCGCTTCTCTAAATCCCTAAAGACCCTAGTTACAAAGGTTTACCAAACTAGGAAATTAAACGAATCGAAACATTCGCTGGTAATGAATCTTAAAGTAAATTTATTCGGAAACAATTCTTCGATATACACACACACACACACACACACAGAGAAATACAAACTTTTTAGTTCTCTCTTTACACTCTGAGAATTAGTTAATTGATCTAAATAATTCGATTCTACTTTGCTTATCTTTCTACAGTTCTTGGTGTAACAAACCGTGGTGAAACGGTGCGCGTGTGTTTAATTCCATTGCAGCTGCGTGCACGAATTTCGACAAGCAGCAACGAGAGCATCGTGCAAAAGGAGACGCAAGATGAATCGGGAAATCGAATGTCCAGTAAGAGAGGAGTAGATTTTATCGGGAAGGTGTTCGTGCAGGTGCAAACGCGACCGCGTGACCGGTGCCATGAATAAATATCGACTGGACTCGAACTGGTGTGCGAACCGTGTACCAACCTGTAAGGCGTATCTGCTTC